CCAGATGGTCAATACCAAAATCAGACTGATTATATTCTTTGCAGCCAAAAATGGAGAAGCTCTATACAGTCAGCAAAAACAAGTCTGGGACCTAACTGTGGTTCAGATCATGAGCCCCTTATTGCAAAATTCAGACTGAAATTGAAGAAAGTAGGGGAAACCACTAGACCATTCAAGTATGACCTAAATCAAATTCCTTAAGATTATACAGTGGAAGTGACAAATAGATTCAAGGAATTAGATCTGATAGGTAGAGTGCCTGAAGAACTATGGATGGAGGTTCATAACATTGTACAGGAAGCAGTGACAAAAACCATGCCAAAGAAAAAGTAATGCAAGAAGGCAAAATGGTTGTCTAAGAGGTCTTACAAATAGCTGAGAAAAGAGAAGCAAAAGGTGAAGAAGAAAGGAAAAGACATATATATTTGAATGCAGAGTTCCAAAGAACAGCAAGGAGAGATAAGAAAGCCTTCTTAAGTGAACAATGCAAAGAAATAGAGGAAAACAATGGAATGGGAAAGACTAGAGATCTCTTCAAGAAAATTAGAGGTACCAAGGGAACATTTCATACAAAGATGGGCACAATAAAGAACAGAAACGATAAGGACCTAACAGAAGCAGAAGAGATTAAGAAGTCGCAAGAATACACAGAACTGCACAAAAAAGATCTTAATGACCCAGATAATCACAATGGTGTAGTCACTTACTTAGAGCCAGACATCCTAGAGTTGAAGTCAAGTGGGCCTTAGGAAGCATCACTATGAATAAATCTAGTGGAAGTGATGGAAGTGACTGGAAAAGGTCAGTTTTCACTACAATCCCAAAGAAGGGCAATGCCAAAGAATGTTCAAAATATCATGCAATTGCACTCACTTCACATGCTAGCAAGGTAATGCTCAAAATCCCTCAAGCTAGACTTCAATAGTAAGTGAACCAAGAACTTTCAGATGTACAAGCTGGATTTAGAAAAGGCAGAGGAACCAGAGATCAAACTGCCAACATCCGTTGGATCATCGAAAAAACAAGAGAATTTCAGAAAAACATCCACCTTGCTTCACTTACTACATGAAAGCCTTTGACTGTGTGGATAACAACAAACTTGGAAAATTTTTAAAGATATGGGAATACCAGATCACCTTACCTGTCTCCTGAGAAATCTGTATGCAGGTCAAGGAGCAACAGTTAGAACCAGACATGAAACAATGGACTGGTTCAAAACTGGGAAAGGAGTACGTCAAGGCTGTATATTGTCACCCTGCTTATTTAACTTATATGTAGAGTACAACATGCAAAATGCTGGGCTGGATGACTCACAAGCTGGAATTAAAATTGCAAGGGGAAATATCAATAATCTCCTATATTCAGATGACACCAGTTTAATGGCAGAAAGTAAAGAGAAACTAAAGAGCCTTTTGATGAGGGTGAAAGAGGAGAGTGATGGGGCCAGATGCCATGATCTTAGTTTTTTGAGTGTTGAGTTTTAAGCCAGCTTTTTCACTCTCCTTTCACCTACATCAAGAGGCTCTTTAGATCTTCTTTGCGTTCTAACATTTATTGAGTGCTTACTGTAACTGGGCATGGGTTAAACATTTTACTTATTTAATCTAACAATGCAACCATAATTAATATTGTACCTTTTTAGGGATGAGGAAGTTGAAGCCCACAGAGGAGTGAACTGTCATGCATGAGTGATTGTGGCAGAGCTTGGAACAGCTCTGTTTGGGCTCCTAAAACATTTCTTGCTTTTTTAAAAAGTATTTATTTATTTATTGGCTGTGTCAATAAATAGTTGCAACAACTGGGATCTTTCGTTCAGCTCACGGTCTTGGTCTGCCACAGGTGGTATCTTAGTTCTCCAGCCAGGGACAGAACCCAGGTCTCCTGCATTGGAAGGGGGATTCTTTTTTTATATATAAGATTTTTTTAATTGAAGGATAATTGCTTTACAGAATTTTGTGGTTTTCTGCCATACATCAATAAGAATCAGTCATAGTACACCCATGTTCCCTCCCTCCTGGACCTTTCTCCCATCTCCCTCCCCATCTGACCCTTCAGCCTGTCCCAGAGACCCTGTTTGAATTCCCTGAGTCATAGAGCAAATTCCCGTTGGTTATCTATTTTACACACGGTATTGTAAATTTTGTCACTCTCTCCATACATCTCCCCTTGTCCCTCCTCTCTTCCTTCCATGTCCATAGGTCTGTTCTCTATGTCTGTTTCTCCATTGCTGATGGTTTCTCTTCAGATCCAGGGGAATGAGATGAAAAAGAGGAAGGGGAAATAGGAAGAGAAAAAAGATAAATGGATGTAAACAGAAGAATCGAACTCTCCCATTTTCACATCAGTTATCTACTCCACCTGCACAACCACCTCTAAGGCATCATTAATCCTTACAGATAAACTGAGACAGAAGAAGTTCCAGGGACTGGTAGGTTCCTCCCACGGGGGTACCTGCAGAGGGTGGGGGAGGGGTACAGTCTGCCCTCCCTCCTGACCTCCCTGGCAATTTCATGACAGCTTCTCCACAACCGTTCCCTCCCAGGTGGCGGCAGCACATCCTCCTTGTGGGCAAGTCTCCCTCACGCTGCCCCACCCAGAAGTGGGCGTCCCCTCACCCAGGACCACGTGTGCAAGAGACTAGCTAGGGGCCGAGGCTGAAGTCAGTAGCCTCCTAGAGCTGTTCTCGTCTGCAGGCTTCCCGTCAGTGCACCACACCACGCTTCCTGCCTTGCTAGGGGGAAGCCCCTGAAGCACACTGTTGTGAAAAGCGAAACTTCAGAATACCCCAAAACAGAATCTAAATTGGCCAAAGATATAAGAATCTGAGGAAAAAAAAAAAGTAAAGAAAAGATATTCACAGAGCTTGCTGAGGCGTGGGAAATCCAGGCCTGTCCTGCAGAAGAGCTCAATGACGGGACGTTTCCGTCATGAGAAGGCAGAGATGATTTCTGGAGGAGTGACAGAAATTAATCTCTCACTGTCTACTTTTCTCTAGTGCTTGTATTTTTTTTTTAACCAGGTGGCTTTATAACATTTTCAATTACAGAAAACTATTTTAAAGTGGCCTGCCAAAAATAAAATAAAATAAAATAAAGTGGCCTGCCAGGCAGTCACCATTCTGTGTGGCTCACCCTCCTGTGAGAAGGCAACAGCTTAGTCAGGGCATGACACATTAGGGGTGGGGTCACACATCCGGTCTACTACATATGCCTCCAAATCATGTAACTCATTGTTCTGAGGACTCAAAGTCACGTTTAAAATCAGAGTCAGCTAAAGTAAAACTGGAAGAGAAATTTGCTTCTGGAATGTGGAGCACACAGCATAGACCAGTGCTGCTCCCTTGGGCAGCACCCTCTCAGGGACTCTGGATGGAGTTAGTGGTCACGACTCTGTCCTGGGGAAGAACTGAGGCAGTGAGTCCAGTCTAGCCCATCACCCTCAGGTCAGGTTGGGTCCTGAATAAGCCTCAACCCCCAAGGGTCACAGAGCAGAGTCAGAGGAAGAGCGAAGCAGAGACCACAGGGTCAGACCCGCACAGGAGTGTCGAGCATCCAGAAAGAGAGAAATAAGATGCAGCATCTCACAGTCTGCAACAGGAAATGTCCTTATTCTGTGCAATCAGGCAAGTGACAGTGGGGGCAGCCGAAGCAGTGAGGTTAGAATGAACCCTGAGGGTCTGTAAAGGAAGCAAAACAGATGATCAAGGCAAACGCTATATAAAGTCTCGCATTAGAAATTTAAACCCTAGCATGTGAGCATACTCAGTCATGTCCGACTCCTTGTGACCCCATGAAGTGTAGCCCGCCAGGCTCCTCTGTCCATCGGGTTATTATCCCAGCAAGAATACTGGAGTGGGTTGTCATTTCCTCCCCCAGGGGAGCTTCCCGACCCAGGGTTCGAACCCATGTCTCCCGCATTGAGATGATGGATTCTTCACCACTGAGACACCTGGGAAGTCCTTTTAAATCCCAGAGTCTCTAATGTGAAAAGAAGGGAATTGAGGGCAGGAGAATTACTCAGCCACTTGGTTGGTATTAAAGGAGGAGACAGGTGAGCAGGCCAAGACTGAGTGGATACCTCCCTTTTCTACTCCTTTAGGAACATCCTTCCTTCACCCACTTCCTGATCTAGTGTAGGGGGGCAAGGTCTTCTCTCTGCTCCACTGGCCTCCTCTCTCCAGAATCCATCCCTGGAGAAGCTCTGACCTCCTTCTGAATAGCTCAGTTCTACTGTGGGGTTCCAGATTAGAAAATAAGGTTACTTCTCTCATCCAACTGTTAATCCCCAGTGGCTTCCCCTCTTCTTTCCCGTTCATGTCACAACTGCCTTCTTGCTCAGATCTACCCACCCACACCCCTGCCCCCCGGTCTTATGAACTTAGAAATACAAACTCATTTAAACATCAAGACAAAAGAAAAACAGAATTGGTGGTTGAATTTTCTGCCATAGAACATTTCCAAATTATGGGCTATTTGGAGTGGTCCTTCTCTATTACTGAGACAAGGAGACAAAAGGACCCAAGGACCCAAAAGATTACATCACAGAACCCCGGTGAGCAGCCTGAGGGTGGAGGTGGTAATGAGTCAGAGTGTGGGTTTAAGAACTGAACTTACTTATTTGGATTTTAATTCCAGCTCTGACACTACTTGCTCAGTGATTCTCAAAGTTGAGAATGTACCAGAATTACCTGGAGGGCTTATAAAGATACAAATTACTGGGCCCCATCCCCCAGGTTTCGTATTATTTAGGTCTGAGGTGGGACCCGAGAATCTACATTTCTAACAGTTTATCAGATGATGGTGAAGCCGTTGGTCTACTTTGAGCCGCACTCTCCAGCAGTGTGGTCAGCCGCCTTCCGTGTATATTCCGGACAATAATCAGTAGTTATTTGCTGGGGCTAGTGTTTACCTGAGACCCGGCACATGAAGACCTTAGCATTGTTCGTGGCACACGGCAAATGCCCTGCTCTTATTGTTGGATGAAGGGGAGGAATCATTTGGTCAAGACCACTTCTCCCGATGAGAAGCAATCCTGGGACGGAGCCCCAGGGCGCCTCTCTGTCCCGCGGCGTTTCTCTGCTCCCGAGGCTCTTCCTCCAGACTCTGAGCGCTGCGGCCACACGGCCACTGAGCCCGCGCGCCACACGCTGCGGTTCCAAGCACATGCGGGCGGCTCACGCCTGTCGTCTTTGTGATGGCCGGGACCCTCCAATCTTTATCGACGCCGAGAGCCTGGCCGCGGAGACTGGCCCCCGGAACTTGCTGAGATCTGGAGAAGCCGGAGCAGCCGGGATCCCAGCCGCGGCGGCGGGGGCGGGGTGCATGGGCCGAGGGGCGGCCCCGCAGCAAGCCGGCGTTCCGCGGCGCAGAGTAATGCTGGGGAGCTCGGCCCCCGGCACCTGACCCGGGAGGGGCGGGGAGGACGAGCTCCAGCGGTCGTGCAGGGCCCGCCCCGGCCCCGCCCTCCAGGACGTCCCGTCGGGAAACCGGTGAGCTGCACAGCCGCGCGGCTGCGGCTCCGCCCGGGCACCACAGGTAAGCAGCAGAAGCAGCCCGCCACCCTTCTCTGGCCTTAGAACCCAGAGCCCTCCCGCTTCTTGGGACTTCCTGCCGGTCGGGATCGCTTCTCCCAAGTCCTTGTCCCCCATCCACCTCCCGCCTCCGCCGATCTTCTACTCCTCCTCTTCCTCGCCACCCCCGACAGCAACACGAAGGGGCTGGGCCGGGCTGGGCCATCTGTCGTGGTGGCCTCTAGCTCCTCCCTCGGTAGGACTCCCTACACCTTCGCGCCTTCCTTAAAGGTTGAAAGAAAAGCTGGGGTCTCTGGGTCCTGGAGGGGTGGGGTGGGAGCGGTGCAAGCAGCACTGCCTCCGGGACTCTGCAACATCTGCCCCTCACCCATGCCCTGGCATCCCTTTTGTCTCCCCATCGCCCCGCGCTGGGCCACCCCCCTGTGCTCAGCTGCAGAAAACCTTTCAGAGAGGTTCCCTCCTTCCCCGGGGGGCGCGGCTCCTGAGCAGAAGCAGTGAGCCGGCGAAGAGAAACCTCCCGGGTGAGGGCAGAGTCTCAGACATCCTCCCTGTGGAGACTGGGGCCTTTAAAGGGCAGGAACTGTGTGCTCAGTATTGTTGGGAGGGAGTCTGATGGGTGTTCATGACTGTGACTGTCACCGACTTCCTGATTTCCTGTCACTTGTCCCAAACCCCAGGCCAACCGAAAGGAGAAATAGTTTGTTACTTGCCCCCAGAGCCTGTTGTCCCAGACACTGACCTCTGCGGAGGTTAGCACAGGGCTTCTCTGTGTGTATGGGGATGGTGAGGTGTCAATTTGCCATCACAGCATAAGACAGACCACTCTATTACCCAACCACCCCATTGCAACATTCACAAGGAGGGTTCTAACACTGCACTCCCAGTGAACTGCCAGACCTGCAAATGCAGTTTGCAGACACTGCAGGAGGTTAATAACTCTGGACACACCAAAGAACCTGGGGCTTGTGCTCATTTTGCCAGAGATATGTGTACACTGCCCACGCCCCTTTCTCGCAGTGAATGAGCTGTGTCTCTGCCCATTACAGGAAGAGCAAAAAGGATGAGACAGGCAAATGCATGTGATCAATAGCGCAAGCTAAGGTGAGGAGTTGGAAATTTACTTTAGTTCAAGTTATCCAGCAGAAGCCAGCATCCTTGCGGATACTTCCTGACCTGTTCCTTAACAGTGCCATTCACTTTAGGCACCCAGAGGTAACAAAACAACTTTCAGGGGCACCAGAGCAGTTAGCAGAGCAGACCTGTCAATGGGAAGGTGGTCTAGAGGTGGTGGAACCACGAAGAATACTGGGCTGCCTGGAAAGCCCTCATCCTTGGTAATCACTGCCCATAGTTAGCAGAACAGCTGACTCCTACCCACGTGGAAGAACTCACGCCTGAAAAGGGAAGCCCTGAGGCATGTCAAAAACTGTCTGAGATCAGAAACATCTCAGCCCCAAATTCACTTGGGAGAAACCTGAACAGGAGATACGACCTTGGGCTTAGCCCACATAGCCATTGCCTAGAACAGAAATCAGGAATCAAAGGGCCAACTAACCCTAGGGCCAAGGCAGTGGGTATAATGGAGGCGGAGAGCTGGCTCAGCTCTGTCACTAAATTAGCTGTCTAACCTTGGCCAAATCACATAAACACTCCCTGGGTGGGGAACAAATGAGAAGGTGTATGTGAAATGCTTTGTCAAAGCTCCAAGCACCAGCCAAGTGCAAGGCAACATGGTGCTGTGGTTAAGATAGTGGGCTTTGGAGAGATGTGGGCTTGGGAGCAAATTCTGCCTCTTCCATTTCATAGCTGTGTGTCCTTGGTCAGGTTACTAAACTTGCGTGGGCTTCAGTTTCCTTATATGTAAAATGGAGAAAGGCAACTGTGTCTTGCTTTGGTATAGCAAGCAATGATATTAAAAAAGGTTCTGGTATTGTTCTGAACCTGCTCTGGCTTCATGGACATGTTCTGACATCTCCAGCCCTAGAAATGAAGCTGAGGTCCAGAGTGGGTTTCTCTGTCCTGGAGGGACCCAGCGGCTGTGCCAAAGATTTGGGTGAACTCTGGTCATCATACAGCCCTCTGCTCCTCTCTGGGAAAGCCCAACATACCCTTTCTCATTTGATGGGAATGAGAGTGAGGGTTTGAATGAATGAGAGGTCAAGTGCAGGGCAGTGCCTGTCTCTGTGTCGGGCTCAAAGCTGTAATTGTGCTGTGTACAAGGCTTGCCCAGCGAACAAGGATGGCCTCAGTCTGGGGAGAAGAAGGACTGTTACAAGACTCTTTTGTGGCACCTGAGAGCCCTGGGAGGTCAGATTATTCTCCAGTCTCCTGTGCAGCCTGGTCTTCAACCCTAGGTAGAGATGCGAAGAAATGAAGAAACTCAATCCTCACCCCCAGCTCTGTGGATAGCAGAAAACAAAGAACAAACAGATCAGGGCGTGGAATTAACAACCAGATACCTCAGGATGGAGGGATGCTGTAGGAATAGAAAGGTTAGGTGAACCAGTTGGGAAAATCATACTAGAGGCAGAAGATTGGGGACCAGGATTTAAAAATTTGAGAAGATGAAAGAAAAGGGGACCTAGGCAGCCCAATGTCTAGACCTGTTGGTTCTCCCTCCCCCATAAAATCTAGTGGGGAAGTCCTACATGAAGAAACATGGGCTGTGAAACTTGGAAACAAACATACCCAATACTAATGGCAGTAAGATGCCCTTTAGTCTGAGAAGGCTTCTTGGAGGAGGGGAGTTTCAGGTAAGAATTAGAGAAAAGAAACATAATTTGCTTTCAGTCCAGTTCAGTCACTCAGTTGTGTCTGACTGCGACCCCATGGACTGCAGCACACCAGACTTCCCTGTCCATCACCAACTCCCCAAGCTTACTCAAACTCAGCTCATGAGTTGAGCTTACTCAATTCATATTGGTGATACCATCCAACCATCTCATCCTCTGTCATCCCCTTCTCCTCCCACCTTCAATCTTTCCCAGCATCAGGGTCTTTTCTAATGAGTCAGTTCTTCTCATCAGGTGGCCAAAGTGTTGGAGTTTCAGCTTTAGCATCAGCCCTTCCAATGAATATTCAGGACTGATTTTCTTTAGGATGGACTGGTTGGATCTCCTTGCTGTCCAAGAGACTCTCAAGAGTCGTGTCCAACAGCACGGTTCAAAAGCATCAATTCTTCAGCGCTCAGCTTTCTTTATAGTCCAACTCTCACATCCATACATGACTACTGGAAAAAACATAGCTTTGACTAGACGGACCTTTGTTGGCAAAGTAACGTCTTTGCTTTTTGATATGTGGTCTAGGTTGGTCATAGCTTTTCTTCCAAGGAGCAAGTGTCTTTTAATTTCATGGCTGCAGTCACCATCTGCAGCCCAAGAAAATAAAGTTTCTCACTGTTTCCATTGTTTCCCCATCTATTTGCCATGAAGTGATGAGACTGGGTCCCATGATCTTAGTTTTCTGAATGTTCAGCTTTAAGCCAACTTTTTCACTCTCCTCTTTCACTTTCAAGGGGCTCTTTAGTTCTTATTCGATTTCTGCCATAAGGGTGGTGTCATCTGCATATCAAGGTTATTGATATTTCTCCTGGCAATCTTGATTCCAGTTTGTGCTTCTTCCAGCCCAGCGTTTCGCATGATGTACTCTGCATATAAGTTAAATAAACAGGGTGACAATATACAACATTGGTGTACTCCTTTCCCGATTTAGAACCAGTCTGTTGTTCCATGTCCAGTTCTAACTGTTGCTTCTTGACCTGCATACAGATTTCTCAGGAGGCAGGTCAGGTGGTCTGGTATTCCCATCTCTTTCAGAATTTTCCACAGTTTGTTGTGATCCACACGGTCAAAGGCTTTGGCATAGTCAATAAAGCAGAAGTAGATGTTTTTCTGGAACTCTCTTGCTTTTTCGATGGTCCAGTGGATGTTGGCTATTTGATCTGCTTAGCAAGAACATAAGGAAAATGCTTTGAAGAGGAAAAGGTAGCCAGTGAGGGTGAGGAGCAAACAGGAAGCAGACTGCCAAGGCCGTGTTTCTGCTACAGTCAAGTGGCGGGAAAGGAGTGTGAATACGGCCCTTCTGGATTGTGAAAGGGAGAGAGAGGCCTGAGCAGAGGAAGCTGGCAGGCAACTTCTGCTGATCCTCCAGATACTGGGTCATAAGAGCACAGTCTCAGAGAATGGTTTTGAAAGGGCAGAGGAAGAAGAGGATCCAGGAGGCAGAGAATGAATCAGCAGGAGCGTGCATGGAGTGAGCCTGATGTTGAAACCCATTTAGAAACTCCATGCCTGAGAGTAGAGTAGGGGCAAGAGTAGTTTCCAGGGTTTCGACGCTACTGGCCACAGTGGGGAAATTGGGAAGGCTGGCTAGCTTAGGGGGCAGGCCACAGACCCTGAGTTCAGGGTGTGGCACGTCGGGTATCCAGTGGCCCTGGGTAGAAGTCCTACAGCCAGGAGCGCACCATACCTGAAGAGAGAAGAGAAAGCTTCAGTTCTGTCCTCTCCCATCACCTGCCCCTCAACCTGAAGATGAACGCAAGCCTTCAGGAATACCCCTTCTGTTAAACACCCCCACCCGTCCCTCTCCTCCTGCCAGTTGATGGATGATAAGACTCAGTTCAAGATTTTTTTCTCCCCTGCCCCCGACCCTGGCTTTCTCTCCAACCCAACCTGATTGTCACCAGGGTTCCTAAATGGTTAGGGAATCCCAGCCCATGCCCACCTAGGGTTCGTCTTCATCCCTAGGTTCTGAGGACTCTCAAGGCTCAGTTTGAAACGGTTACATATCCCTGCCCGACCTGGCAGGACCTGGAGATCCTCTAGTAACAAAAACCTGTGAGCTGATGAACTTCCTGCTTGGTCAGGTATTATTTTGATTTTTCAGTAACTTTACAAACTTGGACTAGATCAAGAAACATTTGCTGAGCACCTGCTGTGTGCCAAGCCTATTCTAGGGACACAGTGTGAGTTAAGTTCAATTGGGTTTTTTCCAAAGGAAAAATCTGTGTTTGGGCAACTAAAGCTCAAAATGTTATGCAAACAAAAGATGAACCTAGATCAGCCCAGGAGAAAACTTGATAGACTTGCTACTGAAATAACTTTCAGTGAGTCTTTCTGGGAAAATACATCCACGTACTGCAGCTCTAGTGTTGAGGGGGAAAGCTGAAGTGTTTTGAAGGTATAATTATGGGGAAAAGTGAAAACC